TTATTTTATGAGTTCGGCACAGGGTCTCACTACACAGCTTAGACTCACAGCGATCCTCCTGTCTCAGCCTTCCCTATGCTGGGATTATAGGCATGTGTCACCATGCTCGTTTTTTGTTGTTTTTTTTTTTTTTTTCTGGAACCAGGGATTGAACTCAGGCCCTTGTACTTGCCAAGCAAGCGCTTATTCTACTGGGCTATCTCCCTGGCCCCCATGCTCGGTTTTGATGGCTGGCTCGGAACACGGCTGGCACTACATGTGGTACCAGGGATTGAACCTGGATACTAGTGCTTGCCTAGGCAGGTGCTTAGACCACTGAGCTATCTCCATGGCCTCCATTTTCCTTTCTTAATCAATTTTTAATAAATTTTGGTGTTTCTTGTGTATTTTGTATACTGATCTCCCATTAGAAGACTAGTTTGCAAATATTGTCTCCCACTTGGTATATCATACTTTATTTATTTTTGTGTATTTAGTAGGGGTCTACAGGGTCTACAGGGTCTCACTACACAGATCAGACTCGTAGTGATTCCCCTGTTTTCAACCTCCCAAGCTCTGGGATTACAGATACGTACCACCATGCCCAGTCTCCATCGCCATCCCAGCATGCCCTGGGAGCAGAGCCAGCATGGCATGCCAGGGATCAAACCCCAGTCCCTGTGCTCTGCCTAAACAGGTGCTTTAGTCTGCTGAGCTATCTGGCTGGTCCTCCATTTTTTATTTTCACTGAACAAGAAGATCTTAACTTGCATACAGGTCATCAGGAATGGCAGCATATGCTGACCATTGTACATGAGAATCTTCGGATTTTCAGATAAAGCATGAATCCCTAAATTATACAGAAGTTGCTCACAGTACTAAGTGTTTCATCAGGCCTAATCACTGAGGATGGCAGAAGGGACAGCCATGAAGTCAGGAAAAGTTTAACATCATTTCATATTAAGAAATCTCAGTATCTTTTCCTTAACATCCCAAATTGTGGTGTTCGGGTCCCAGAAGGATAAACTAAGGATATTACAAACACTGAATAGGATATTATTAAGCTTGAGCTGTGTAGTTTTAGGAAATCACTGAATTAGAGGTCATCATCATGTGCCTGAAATCTCATTAGTCATTTTAAATCGTATGTGGTTCCAAACAAACAGTACTCGATAACAAATAGAAATAAAATATTCATATATGTAACAATATGTATGAATCTCAGAATACGGTGGGTGAAAGAAAACAACCTCCACAAAAGCAAATGATGTGTGGTTTCATTAATACAAGACCTAGAAAATGCAAAATAATCTAGACAGAAGACAGATTAGTTACTTGGTCATGGAGATGGAAAAAAATAGGGAAAGAGACAGGAGGTCAGGGAAACGAGATGTCCACATGCAAAAGAAAAAAGTTGGATCTTTACCTTATACCATATAGAAAACTTAGTTCAAAATGGGTCACAGAGGGCTGG